TCTGAATATAGTTTGAGAATGACGCGAGAGAAACTTTTAAAAGTTACAAGCAAGTCCAATATATTCAGACCAAAAACGGTCTGTATATAGTTTGAGAATGCCGCTGGTTGGGAGAGAACTTTTAAAAGTTACAAGCAAGTCCACCATATTCAGACCGAAAATGGTCTGGATATAGTTTGAGAATGGCGCCGGTTGGAGATGGAACTTTTAAAAGTTACAAGCAAGTCCAATATATTCAGACCAAAAACGGTCTGTATATAGTTTGAGAATGGTGCCGGTTGGAGATGAAACTTTTAAAAGTTACAACCAAGTCCAATATATTCAGACCGAAACCGGTGTGGATATATTTTCAGAATGAAGCCGGTTGGAACAATAATTTTTAAAAGTTACAAGAAAATCCAACATATTCCGACCGAAAACGGTCTGGATATAGTTGTAAGTTTTAAAAGTTGCTGCTGGGTCCTCCATATTTGGATCGATCCCGGTCCGTATATATTTGCTATGCCTCTTTCCGCTACATCTCCAAATCGTTTTCGGTTCGTACATATTTTATTATTTTATTATATTATTTTTTTGGGATCAATTTCGGTCCGCTTATTTCAATTTTTAAATAACAATTTATATTTCTTATTGAAATATCCGAACCGATTTCAGTCCGTATATTATATATATACGAACCGATTTTATGTCGGTCTGTATATTATATTTTTTCGTACCAGGTTTTTTTAGATCAACTATAGGGACTAAGATCGGTCCGAATATATATTCAGACCGATTTTTAATATATTTGGACTGATATTTCAATCTGAATATCCGATTCCTGCAGTAGTGAACTAAGTTGCCCTAGGCCTCCAAGGTACAAAATTATCAAGTGTAGTTACCTTGAAAATGCCAAGCAAAAGTGATTAGATGAGTCGTTATTAGTAGATGAGGTCCCTAGCTAGCACATGTTACTATGTAAACCCATTACGAGCTTGTTTGGTGGAGCTTCCCATCAGCTTCAACTTCTTGACACTATTCATGTTTCATCACTTTAAATTTCCCTCCTAAAAACTTACATTTTTAAACCCTTTTTTACCCTTAAAAGACCTTTGAACAGTGAAATATCAAAAGCTTCAAATCCAAACTTCTCAAAAACTTCATTTTTACTCATTTTTTCCAATATCCAAAAGTTACTTTTAAATTTTCCCTCCAATAAAAATTTAAACTTATCACTATAAACAGTACAAAAAAAGCTCTAGCTCCAACAAGCTATACCAAACAGGCCCTACATTGTGTTACTTTTAGGTCAACTAATGGTAAAACAACACTAGAAAAATGCACTAGAAAACTTATAAATATCTTTTACCCTTAAAAAGTAAACTTTGTGACTTTATCTTTCTCTCTCTAAAGAGATCACTATCAGTTATATTGACTTGAGCATTTTTTAGTTTCTCAAAGAAGTTTCAAGTTTAAATCTTTGCACGTCTATTGTATTGATCTAAAAAACTTTTGAGCTAGTATGTAATTTTATTGTAAATTTTTGTATGCCTGTTTATATAAATCTAGAAACTTTTTGAGTTAATGTGTAATGCTAACCTACTTAACAAATGTACAATAATGACGACGATGATGATGGTAAGAGCAGTCTATTTCCTTTTGTTAAAAAATATTTTTTGGTTTATTAAAAAATTAAAGTTGTAGAAAAAAAATGAGAAAATGTATAGTTAAAGGAACAAATTTTGTCATTTTTTCTATTTAAGGGAATGAAGTTTTCAAGTTTCTAAATCAAGTGATAAGGTTTCATTTTTTTCTATTTAATCATACAAATTTTGTTATTTTTCCTATTTAAATATACGAACCTTGTTCTATTTTGATTAAGATTACTGTTTGCCACATCTTCATTGCCATATAATAAATCCTTAAATAGAAAAACTATAAATTTCTTATCCTTATTTAGAAAAAGAAAAAAAGAAAGTTTATTTCATAATTTAAAACGTCAAAATTTATATTTTTAAATAAAAATATAAAAAAGAATAATATTTAAATCTTTATCTACACTTTTTTTTTTAAAAAAAAGAGTAATACATTTCTTGAAAAAAAAAAAAATCACACGTACAACAAGTTACAAACACATGTTTCTACACTTACCCCAAACAATACATAAATATGTATTATTATTTTTGGAGAATAATGGATATTAATTTCGACTCTAATTAAAAAATTAGAATCTTAATTTTAAACATAGTGTACTTATTCATTGTTTAGATTTAATGTTTTAGTTGATATAAATTATATATGTTAATTTTTTTGATTTCTTAAATATATCTAATTAGTTCATTGATTATATAAAAATTAACATTGTTAAATATAAGTTTGAAAATATAAGTGTTTAAATTGAACAATTATAAATAATATACCAAGTTAGAAATTAATAATTTATATAATTTATATCAACAGAATATTAAATTCAATAATTAATTTTAAAAAATATTAATTAAAAAATAATAACAAGGAAGACGAAATTTTAGCATTAATGATGAAACATATATTATATCATTAAATTAATTGATATATATAATATTTTAAGTAAAAAAATGTAAAAACTAATTATTAAATAATATATGATCCACTTTTTAATATTTTAAATGATTTAACATAATAATATATATAATATTACAGATCTACAAAAATTAATTATTAAATAATATAAAATATACTTTTTAATATTTTAAATAACATAATTTATATTACATTATTAATCCCAAATTTAGTGTTAAATTTTTATCTCATTTATAATTATTCTTAATTAAAATGTAATATTTTTAAAATTAAGACACTAATTTTTTAATTAAAATTAAAATTAATATACATTTTTGCTCATACTTTCTTCTTTTTATAAAATTCTAAACTATGAATATTATATTAGGTGAATAAAAAGAAATTTTATTTATTTATTTATTTTTTGATTCACATGTTGGTCCACTTCTTACTGCCTGTCTGTCAACGATTTTCTGTTTTGTCAATTTGTGTTCTTCGCTTTTATACCTTTCCTTTCTTTTTTTCTTTCCTTTTCATTTTCCTTTTCATAACATGATAGTGGACTGCACAAAACCAAGGCTGTCATTTTCTTCTCCCATTTTCTTTCATTCAGGTTACAGTCACCCAGACGGAAAACTCTCTGCCTGCGGCAATCGAGTAACTGTTAGGGTTTTGGGTTTCTCCAGAGGATTGCTCTCAATTGCTCAGTTATGGTGAGAAAACATGGATGGCAACTACCCGCTCACACCTTTCAGGTGCCGACCCATCTTTTCTCTCTTTCAATTTGAGTTCCATCTTTTTCATTTTGACCCATCCTTTCTCTCTGATGTTCGCCTCCGAAGATTGCTCAGGATTTGTTTTCTTGGTGATGTCTTTCTGGGTTTTTAGTTGCTATTTGTTTTGTGCTTAATTCCTGTAGATCCTTCGTTTGTGCTTCACGGAATAGAGGGTGCCTCTGAATGTCTAGTACCTAGGATACTTGAGGAAAATTTTCGTCTCCTTGGGTTGCTACTGCTTAATTTGAGTCTGGGTAGTATATATTTTTTTGACTGATGCACTTTCCTCTACGCCGAGGCGTAGTTCCTGAAAGGAGGTTGAGGGTTCTACACTTTTAACGTAGAAGTGGCTAGTGGGGAGGCTTTTTGAGGTTATGTTAGGTCATTTGGGCACTTAATTATGTGTTCGATCGAAATCCATCCAATCCTTCTAATTAGATCCATTCTAGCTGATAAGCATTCTCCAAGCGGAATATTGGCTGACATTTAATGGTGATATTGCTGCTTGTTCAACTCTCAAAATCTGCTGAAAAGTAGGCACTGGCGGTTTTTGTTAAGTAGGTTTACATATATTGGACGCAATCGATAATTAAATGCTGTTGCTCCTTGAAAACATGAATTGAATTCAGGCCTGTGGAGTTAAGTTATTAACAACTCTGTAATTTCATGTTTTATAGTTTAGACTTTCTTAAATATTCCTTTTGTTATCATCCTATCCATAGACTATGAAGGTTTTGTGCTAGTTTGACCTGGTTAAAATCACTCTAAATCCTACTTGTTTTGTTTCCTTTTCAGGTTTAGCCAAAAATTCAGGTTAAGTCGTGCAGCTTAAAGTGTTTAATATTTGTTTACTATATTATAATTTATGTTCTTAACTATCATGTCAATTGGATGTTGGGTCAATATTTGCTTTTAAGTTGATTAAAAGAATTAGTATTTGCACTGTAGAAGTTCAAGTTGAACAATACTGGGCAATTTTAATTCTCAGCTATTAATATCATCTCTGAATTGCTTCTTGTGTGTGTTGTAGTTACTTGTTAATGGCATCTATGATATTAAGATTGCATTTGTTAATTTTCAATTAGTACTTGGTTGGATGATTTTTGATGTCTTTCTCTCTCTCTTTTCTTCTTAAGTTTGCTGTATGTCATTTCAGGTCACTCATGCATTAGCTTAATTCTCAATTTGGTCTTGACTCCTTGACTTTTGCAGGTTGTTGCAATCACAGTGTTCTGCCTTTTAGTTGTTGCCTTTTATGCTTTCTTTGCTCCTTTTCTTGGAGGCCATGTCTTGGAGTATTCCTCAAGTGCAACTTACTCAGTGGTGGTAAGTGAATTTATTTTGTTTTTCTGTATTAAGGACTTAACATGCAATAAATTCATTATCCTATGTATTTCAGATCATTTTTTTCAATGGATATAGATTTGAATTGTTATTTTAAAGGCTAAATTGTGTTCCAAGTAGAAATTGCACATTAAATTTCCTCCATGGCAGTTTTATTTCTAGTGTAAGTGAACCAGAATAAAACAGAGCCTCTGAGTATGCTGTTCTTTGCAATTGCAGGCGCTCCTAGTTTTCATTCTTTATGTTCGATGTACTGCAATCAACCCTGCAGATCCTGGCATAATGTCTAGATTCAATGGGGGAACAAATGAACTTGATGCTGAACACATGCTATCAGCAAAGGATCTACCCAGAAAATATGATGAAATTGGAAGTGGGATGCATTCTTCCCCTTCTACAGTTTCTAGAAGTTCAATAGCTGCACCAAACTCAAGTAAGAAAGGTTCAATGGGAGATGCTGGAGGAGTAGATGCTACAGCACAACCTGCAATCAAGAAATCTCCTTGTAGCTTTGGTGGAATCTTCTGTGCAGTATTTGTTCACGAAGATTGCTGCAAACAGGAAACAACAGCTGATCAGGGTTCTGGTGACGATGCTTTGTTCTGCACGTTGTGTAATTCTGAGGTATAAAATGTGATAAAAATGGTAAAATGAAAAATATTTTGATTTTTGATTTTTTCTTTTTATATTAAATGAAATTCAATACTAATTCTAATATTTTAAATTAGCAATAGTACCAATGGCATTCTTGCTAGAATATAAGTTTATAAACTCACATATCTCTGTTTTTATCTATATAAAAATGGAATAGGTGCTTCTATGAATCAACCAAAATGCTAAAAAAAATACTAGTGACACTAATAATTTCTCTCTTTTCAAATTTGAGCAGTTTGCATTCAAATAAGATAAAGATGTAATTTGGTTTGTCTTTGCCTCTAAGCCCTACTGTATATCATTGAAATTGTGAATCTCTTTTTAGTTCAAATTGTGCAATTTTCAAGTTCTCAAAGGAACTTGAAAAGTGGATGTCAAACCTTTCCTATTGTTTAGAAGATGAGAGTTTTTAAAGTTATTCTTCCATCTTAATTTATAGAACTATCAAAAGGCCAAAACATATATGATATAATCATAGTCCTTGAGTATTTGATGCGTAATGTTTCTCATGCATTGGATTTCATTGTTGTTTTCTTTGTTTTTCTTAAATAAATTAACACACTTGTGAGTAGATATTGACGGGAAGAAGGTTTGAATTTGAGTTGGATTAGCAAGCATTGAAGTTTGATATTAAAAGAAGTTGCTGGCATTCCAGTACAATAACCAAGAGAGCAGGATTGATGGTTTGTTTTGTAGGTGTTTAGCAGGAAAATCCCTCATGGACTTAGATATGTAGGCCGTGTACTGTAGCAACTGGTTTAGGTTGGACACCCTTTATGATTAGGGTTATTGTTGTGGGATGCCTGTGGTCTGGTTCATAATGCTGTTGGTCTGTGAAACATAGTTTTATTATTTTATTTTATTTTATTCTTTAAAAATAGGCAACGTGAAACACAGTTTTATGGTATAGAGTAAAAAATGAAATCCTATCCACTTCCGCATAATAAAAAGAACCAAGTAATAAAGAGGACTGTAGATAATTTAGAGACTCAAGTCAAGTAACTAAAGAAATTATAATTCTAATAATTAAAGCTAATATAAATGTGTTAGTTCATGTGCACTGCTTGACTAGGACCTTTGTGGAAATTCCCTATTAAACAAATCAAACTTTTAACTTTCATGAACCTTGTGATATGATCTAGAGCTAAAGGAAGAACTTAGCAATTACTTAGATATCTTTCCAAATAGAAAATTCTTGCTGATTACGACTCGCAACATGTCCGTATGTGTGTGTGGTTGTGAATTCTGATAGCTTGTCATTATGCAGGTGCGCAAGTTTAGCAAACATTGCAGAAGTTGTGATAAATGTGTAGATGCTTTCGATCATCACTGCCGGGTATATCTTTGTGTTGACCTGCATCTTGAAGTAGCTTTTGACATGTTTTTGAGTTGACATCACCAATACATTTGTTCTGAGAAGCTAATATCACTCTAAAATATGCATGCAGTGGCTAAACAATTGTGTGGGACGCAAAAATTATGTAACTTTTATCTCACTTATGGCAATCAGTCTTGTTTGGGTATGGTCTTTAATCTAAGAATGTTCTCCCTTAGTTTGTCTATGATAATATTTTCCAAACACTTATGATTCTTCTACTTCCCCAACCCCCTTCTCGTCATTGGTTAAGCTTGTTATGGAAGCTGCTGTGGGTATTGCTGTTCTGGTGCGTTGCTTTGTCAACAAGAAGACCATGGAAACTGAGATTATTGACAGACTTGGAAATGGATTTTCTCGTGCCCCATTTGCAACAGTTGTGGTATGTTTCCATCACATATGGTTTAGACTTAGGATGATATGTAACTTTTTGATGTAAATTTATGAAATGTCTTGTTCTTATGTTCGATCTGAAATTTTGTAGGCTGTATGTACTGCAGTTTCTATGCTGGCTTGTGTACCCCTGGGTGAACTGTTCTTCTTTCACATGATACTAATCAGAAAGGTCAGTTGCCAGGACAGTTAGTGTTATTGTCAATTTTACAGTGCTGTTGTGTTTTATTTGTAGGATGAGGGAGCGTGAGCTCAGAAACTACCATTTTTTGTTGGAGTGGGATGACTTATAAATTTCCTACTTTTTTTTTTTTGGTGTAAGATAAGATTAATATTAAAACATACAATTGCATAGAGTCCCTGGGGTAGCAGATCCCATAAGCATCAGCCAAAATAAAAACATTAGCATCCAGGATAGGTTCTTACAAAATATCAAAGCCATAAGGCTTGTGAAGGCCATGCTTAACAAAGCACTGAACAAGCATGTTCCCCTCCCTCATAATGTGGTGTATGGTGCTGTTGGGAATGAGATGCGTCAGCCTCCTGCAATCATGCCTGAGAACACCGAGTAAATGTGTACTAGGGAAATTCTGTTTGTTAAGAAGCTGCAAAGCAACAAGGAGTCAACTTTAACAATTAATATTTCTATTGATGACCAAAAGAAGACCATCCCTTGCGTCCCATGGTTCTGCAGCCAAGGATGTCATGATTTCCATATTCCAGACGAAACAAAGAATCCATTTTCCTCTGTCATTTCCTATCACACCACTGGCAGCAGGGTCGAAATATTTGACTATGAGGATAGATAAAAGACATTGAACCAATTTCTTTACCAATATTAGTACCAGATACTAAATTGGTTCCTTTATTGTCATCCTTTACTATTTTTTTGAGTTTGAATTTTTTTTATGCAATTCCATTGTCTAACAGGTTGGCAAAAACTGTTTTCACATCTTTGCTTTCATGCGCTCCCAAGTGCTCATTTTTGGTTTGCCTTGTTGAGAACACTGTTCTTTAACCTAAACTTCTGTTTTTTTCCTTTTAAATTTATGTTGTGTCAGGGTATTACAACCTATGAGTATGTTGTGGCAATGAGAGCAATGAGTGAGGCACCTGCTGGTGCATCCATGGATGAGGAGCTACCAAACGTGCTGTACTCTCCTAGTGGATCTGCGACAACTGGTATGAGTGGTGGAAGTTCTCTGGGTCTGCAGTACAGAGGAGCATGGTGTACCCCTCCTAGAGTTTTTGTTGATTATCAGGTACTCTTTTTATATCAGCTCCTATATCTACTTTTTAATTTTTTATATTTATAAAGAGTATCAGGTACCATCTCCTTTTACTTGCTTTTTGTTTCTTTTTATATTCCAACACCCTAAATGATCTGATTAAAAATTGTTATGTTATGCTTCCAAAATAAAATTTTGGTCTAAATTCAGAGTACTTTCGACAATAATGAGTTGAGACTACAGTAGGTCCTGTACTACAGTGTCCATGATATGATATATTCTCACAAATTTTAATCACCTTCACCACTGGTCCTTTTTCATGATCATTCATTTGAATCTTGAACCGGCATTCTTCAAAGGTAACTTGATATAAGTCTCTGGCTCAACATCAAGACATTTTATTAGCTTTATCTAAGTTGCCTTCTGCAACTATGATTAATAATTACTTTCCCTAGTATGGTTGAGAGTTATGAATGTGTTTTGAATATTCTGCTGCATCAGGATGAAGTGGTGCCTCACTTGGAACCTGGAATGGTCCCATCAACTATTGATCCAGATGCTGCTGGAGTTGCAGAAAGAGGGAACAAGGGACTGAAAAAACCTGTTAAGCTTAGTGCTTGGAAGCTTGCAAAATTAGATTCCAATGAGGCGATGAGGGCAGCAGCCAAAGCAAGAGCTTCTTCTTCAGTACTGCGTCCTCTTGATAACCATCGTTTAGCTGATCCTGAATTTAGTTCCAGTGGCAATGTTAGTGTTAGAAGTAGTGTGAGCACAGATACAGGGGCAAATAAAGAGATCAAGAATGACTTGAGATTATCACCATTGAAGAACTCTTTCGCTCCTAGTCAAGGTAGCCGAGATGAGTATGAAACTGGGACTCAGAGCGTTAGTAGCCTCAGCAGTTCAAGCCACATTCATGAATCAGTCACGCTTAGCCCTTTACCACAAGCTCATGCTTTGGCTCGTTACAATGCAGCAACATCACTTTCTGGCATTCCTGGCCATACATCAACTTCCAAGCCAGGTCTTAACAGTATCAACCACCCAATAACTCATGCTTCATCAGGATTTGATGAAAAAATAATGCAAAGGGGTAGTATTGCTGATCCACTATTGCTGTCAGCTCCTGCTGCTTCTCTTCTTAGAGATGTCAAAAGGACATCTGTTGTATGGGACCAAGAAGCTGGGAGGTTTGTATCAGTTACTTTGTCAACCACAGAAGTGCGGAATAGATCATCTATGCATGTTGGTCTGTCAAGTTCTAGTGCAGAAATTAGCACTCAGAGCAGAAGGGCATTTGTCCCGCAGCAAGAATCTTCTTCATCAACAACAAAGTCTCCAGGGCAGCAGGCAGAGAAGCTGATGTACACAGGAGACTCCATTTTCTTTGGGGGTCCACTTTTGAGTGTTCCAATTAGAGATGGTCTAAGAAATGAAAAGGGTCTGGGATCAAGGGAAGGTCAAGAGAGATTAGCTCTGAATTTTCCCCGGGAGTCTAGATTCAAGAGGGACTCAGTCTCAAACCAGCTTCCAGTGTTTGTCCCTGGGGGTTTTGAGCACAACACTTCTGGTTCTGGTTTAAAGTAGACACAAGTAGATTCCTCTAACAAAGTTGCTGTACAATTTTTTTCATAAATCTTCGGGATGGTTAGGGGTAATGAAAGAGTAAGAAACCTCTAAAGGGAGCTGCTGAGCCCTGGAACCCTGCAATTTTGAACCATGTGCAGACAAGATATTCTTGCAAGGTTCAAGTGGTTTCTTTCTTCCCAGGAATCATTTAATTAACACGTTGGTTTAATCTGAAATTTGTAAATGAGGTGAGGTGAAGAGATGAGACTCCTATTCTCTCTTAAATTCTCCGGTACAATGGTCATTTAAGATTAATGTACTTGTCTTTCACGGCCAAGCTTAATTGATGTGTTCTGCGTATATACTTCACTTCAAATACTTTATTTACACATTATTTCCTCAGGTTGAATGCGGTGTTTGTTAGTTTGTGAATTGTGCATTAGTTTCTGGATGTTAGTGTATAATAATGAGATTTGGTTCCCAGTCTCAGCGTATCAATAGGTGGAATAACAAAATCTGAGAGCTGAATGGACTTGGTAAACGGGTCAATTCGGGCGAGTTAGAATTGCATCACTTTGAATTCTGAGTTACAGAGTTGAGTTATTTTAAATTTTGAATTAAAAAAGGTAAATTCATAATTAGCATACACAAGCCTCGAATTGGGTGGAGTGGACCTTAAAAGAAAAAACCAATAGTCGGCACTAAAGCTTGCAGGCCATTTCGTTAGAGTGCATTCTCCCCACCCTCGAGAAATAGGGTCGGTTCCCCATACCCCTATCACACAACGGTTGTAATAGTTCAAAAAAGAGAAAAAAGAGCACAAATTTGCGATCGTCCAGCCTCCTACATGTGTATCAATCAAACGGGCCGAATTGGACAAACTGTGGATATGAAATGCGGAAATTGAAGGCATGAAACTATAAGTATAGCTCCGGTTTAATTCAATAAATAATCTAGTAATTTTTGTATTTTTTTATTTAATATATTAACTTTAAATATTTTCAGATCCATCTATTATCTTATTATTATTATTATTATTTTATTTTGGTTGCACAATAAGAAACAATCATTTTTCATCCCTTATTTCACTTCATCTGTATGTCATATGACTCGAACACAATATTTTTTACTTCTAGCAAAAGAAAATGACCACAAAGGTACTTAGGTCGTTGGCTCTTTTACTTTTATTTTAGTTTAGTCTAACCTGTTAATTTTCTAATAATAGTTTCACTTCGTTTGATTAAATTAATTTTCAACTATATCTTTTGTAAATTTTTACTCATTAAAATTAATTTTGAGATAAAACTGATTTATGAGGATGATAAGTTCCTCTTCATTGTCTAAAAAACTATAACTTTTATTACATGTTACTTTAATTTTTCCTTTTGACAATTTTTATTTGTAGTAAAATCCACAATTATTGACATATTATAATAGTTTGTACAGTTTGTCGTAAACTACTTTCGTGGCTAAGATTACTCTATTTTAATTTTGATTTAATTTTTTTATTATTTTTCTATCAAAATTAATAAAAATTTTATACAGTAGATTATTTTAAAATATTTTATAAAGTTTATGGACTATTTAGGAAGAAAATTAACTTTTTAGACTAAAATAAAATTAGACTAATAGTTAATAGACCAATCATTGAATTAAGCCCTATAAATCCTCCATGGAACTTATTTTAGCATCAAGCCACAAAATACGAAGGAAAATGATATAGTTGTAGTATGATGTGATATTGTAAATTTTAATCATGAAGTGTTATTATATAATTAACTTTTTTTATTTAGATATTTAATTATAATATTATGTACATCTATTTATTTAATGATATGTTATAATTGTAAAATTAAAATTCTACACTAAATTGTAGTTATAACACTATTTACACCATAATTAGTAATTTTTTAAGATAATGTCATGTGTCCACATGGAGATCAAGCAGCCATAAAATTTTCAAAATTAATTAGAAAATATTTGGTTGTAATCCAGTGCGTTGTTGCTTATTTTGGGAATAATTTTTATGTTATCATGTGTTGATGCATATATTTTTACTAAGTGGGCGGCTTTGGCATTTTTGTTAATTAAACTAAAGGACTCCAATTTCGTTTATTTGAAAGTGGATATGAACTTGGAGTATTTGTTAGGGTGGAGCAGGACAATCACGTGGCCAAAGGAAAGTGCAGCCTAATTTTGGACTTTTGCAATTAAGGCTCATGGATTGGGGATAATATATATATATATATATATATATATATATTTTGAGTTAAATTTTCATCTTCCTTTCTTCGTTGTGAAGGAGTTGCAGACTCAGGGACTAAATCAAAGTAAACTTTAACTGGGTTAATTGAGAAAAATAAGGGCAATTTCCAATTGATTCTAACAAACAACATTCTAGTGGTTTTTGGCTATTGGATTTCCGTTTCTGGCTATCGGCAGTTCGTATGATGGAGAATATTTTGGAGCTGTTGAGATCTAGTTTCACCGTGGAAGATGGAGAGGATCAAGGTCAAATTTTTTATGAATGGGTTCAGTTACAGAGGCCTTTAAATACAAGTTTTCAATGCGTTTTTCAATTTCAACAGGTCTGTCCTTCACACACAAATCAATTTACTTTTCAAAGTTCAATATTCTCACAAGTGATTCCTAGTTTTACCTTAGTCTACCTAGCAATTCATTAGTTCAAGTTTATTTGTAGCAAGTTATCTTTGAATTTACAATCTAATAGGAGTAGAACAACAATCCCCAGAGGATTCATTTCGTTGTTAGTTTAATTTTGTTAAGATTATTCTCAATGACATTCATCTCATTTTGTAGTTTGCTTCTACTCAAATTCTCAAAATATCCAGTATTTCATTTAAATTCAAGCATGGCTATAGTGGCAATTAATTTGAGTCTTTGTACATTTTTATTGCAATTTATAGTTTGATTAATCTTTAGTTTACTACACTTTATATATTTTTACCAATTTTTGATTTCTACCTACAATATATGTTTTTACTTAGTTTTATTTACTACACTTTCATTTATTAATTTTTGTTGGGGTGTGCTAGTGATGTAGGTTGATGAGTCAACAACGGTGATGATATGGAGGCTGACTAGGATGCTACCCGCGAATGATGAGGAGGGTTCTTTTGGCGGTACTCGTTTCACGTGCAAGAGGCTACGTGCCATAGGAGCAATGTTGGTCGCCAACAAATTCTCTAGCAAAGTTTGAAGGTGTAAGTTATCCAGTCAAGTTGAGATGGAAAGCTGGTAGCAACAATAGAGCTCCAAGATGTCCAACGAGGTCAGCAACAAATCACCCAACGAAGTTTAGAAGTAGAGTTTCTCTGGCGAAGTTTGGGAGTAGAGTTTTTCCAACGAAGACCAAAAGTAGAGTTTCTCAAGCAAAATCCAAAAATAGAGCTTATCGAGCGAAAACTGGAAATAGAATGTCCCTAGCCAAGTCAGAAAGAGTGGAGTGACGATGGTGCTCCTAGGATAACAAGAATGATTACACAACTACCAAAAATAATGAAAATGAAATGTACAATGTTGTAGGAGCAATGAGGATAGAAAATATATAAAGGTTAAAAATTACAACTTAAGAAGCACATTTTTACATAGTATTTTGTAGCACAATAGCAAAGACAATGAATGTGCCCTTTATTATCCTTGACAAATACTTTTTACTCTATAATAAGAGACCCTCACATTGTAGATAAAAGGTACAATGGTCTCCCTCAAGCCTTAACAAGACAATAGGAATAAACTTGAAAGTAGTGATGGGAGAAGGAAGGATGACCATTGTGGGGGCTTGCAAATGGAGGGCTTGATCCCGTTTTTGATGCTAACTCTTCAACTTGATCCTTTGATGCTCATGAAGATAACCTAGAAAATGAATCTACAGTATGCTATCTCCTAGCCATGATGTTTTGCAAGTTTGGAAATTGTTTAGTAGTGTTGGAAGTGTAGAAAATATAATAAAAATGGTGGTTTTTGGGTATTTTTGGTGTATTTGGGGAGAGGTTGAAGATGAAGGACTTTTTAGAGGAAAAATGGAAGTTTTGGTACGTGAGGAAGAAAGTTGTAGTTGTGAAAACTATTCAAATTTGCTGAAAAATGAAGGAAAAATAATATATATATGTGCAGTGGCATTTTTGTAATTTTTGGGTTAATGGGTCAGAGGTGCACAATGGCCTAATGGGTAGATTTGGGTGAGCTATCGAGTTTTGAGTGGTTTTGGGCATTGCTGACAGCTTTTTGGTAGTGATATTATGAATTAGCTAGTAGCTCCAGTAAAGCACCACCAATTCTAGCGAAGCACTATTAATTTGTTGAAGGTTGTCCATTTTTAGTAACTCTCCACCATAAAAAATTCCATTTTTGGGGGATAATTGAGTGCAGCCGGCAGAATCAGATCTGGCCAACATTTTGATAGATTTCCAAGGGTTGCCCAAGATATTGGTAGATTTCCTAGGATTTGCCCAAGATTTTGGTAAATTTTCCTAGCGAAATAAGATCTTTTTCAATAGTTCCCAAAACCATGGAACTTGTGCAGCCAACTTTTACATTGAATACAGTTGCAAGTTGCTAATGGTGACCAAGACAGCATCTCTGATTGGTTTTGAATAAGATTTTAAGCTTTTAATTAGCATCAAATAGTATAGTTTTGTGACCAAGCTTAGCCTTCACGTCTTTGCCACCCAGCCCTTTCTGGTGAAATCAGGTAACATCACCAGTGCCAAGCTTTGCTGGCACGAATACCTCGCTTCGCCAGATAGGCAACGTTCACCCATCCATGCTTGCCAAGCCACTACTCCTATAATTTATTTTGAGTAATTCCCATGAATATTCATAGGTTTATTGATGACCTACATGTAGAAGCAATAATTAGTTGATGAAGATGACGAGATTTAATAAATAAGGAAATAGTAAAGGAAAGAAACTTCCTTCTGTATTTCTGGCGATGCAGCCATATACTGCAACATTAGATACCACTGGGCCTAGCCATATATTACAACATCAAATATTGCTAGGCTTTTTGATAAGGTTAAATGCTAAATTTGGTCCCTCAACTTTAAGAAATGCACATTTTTTATCCCTCAACAATTTTTTGCACTTTTTTGATCTCTCAACTACAAGAAATGCACTCCGTTAGTCATTCTGTTAATTTGAGTCGTTAAGTCTGCTTATGTGGCATTTTTTATATTTTTTTGATGATGTGGAGAGCAAAGTGATGATATGGACAAACATTTTGACATTTCATATTACCGTGTGCCAAATCCATTCAAATGGGTCCCACTTCACTAATAAAAAAAGATATCTTTTGATGACATGACATATTAAGTGATTTTTT